TCTTACTTCTTACTCCGTGTATTGTAGACGGGCCTTTACATTTTGAGTGTTGGATGACACCTGGGTGGGGAATCCGAACGCACCCTTGATGGGATTGAAGACTGAAGTATCGACAGGCTTTAGAATTACTGTATTACCGATTGAGTTTATTACTATAATTTGTAAAATGTGTCATCACAAACTGACCGAACTCCCAGTGCTTCGCGCAAATTTTCATGTCATTCTTTGAATTAAATGGAATGAAAACTCTCTTATCTAATTCTTTTTGGTTATAAATATGTTGTAAAAATAAATAATATGTAAACACGAAATATTGAACTACGCCCGCAGAGTAATATCGTTCGAATAGTTGAATATATTTTTTGTTAGGAAACACTTTGTTTTTAAGTATATATTAAAAGTATGACTGGGTTACTTGCATTCTGCATAATCTTTTTAATTCTTTATTGTTTCTTTACTCGGTAAGTGTTGAAATTTATTGTAAAATAATATTATCTTAGAATGAAATAGTTGTACATCACAATTATTTGTTCAACAGAGTGGTACCAAGGCTATTAGCATGGATAGTAAAACGTCGTTACAAAATTCACTTGCGAGTAGGCCATATATCTGTACCTTATTTTATCTTCCGTGATGTCAATGTAACTAAAAATGGCTTTACCTTGGTGAGTTTTTCAAGTCTAAATGGTACATATAATATGATATGAAAGCAATATTTAATTTTAGCAAATTGAAGAAATAAGCATACGAAGCAGTTTATTTAGTAGTGACGTAGCAAAACTGTTAGCTGTTGTTATGAGGGATGTTAGAATAAATAAGGATATTCCAGTTGGTCCGACATGTAAGATAAAGCAGTCCAATGAGTTATTAGATTTTAGAAACAAGAAAATACCTCCAATTATAATAAAATGTGTCCAGGTACATGTGCAATACTGAAGTTTCAAGTTGTCATATTTTTCTATGTATTATAAAAGTGACATATAAACTATATATATTTATATATAGTACATACACACATTTATGACTATTCATTTTAGTTTACAGCAGTACATGTAGAAAATATTAATCTACTGGCTCTTGGCAATGGTTGGTTGGCTAATGGGAATGCAGAAAGTTTAAGTTTAGATGGCAGTATTGTACATGGTGCACGCACACTATTGGCATCTGCTTCTATTGTTGGAGGAACTATGAAATTATTGCGACATGCTTCTGATGCATGTCTCTCTCAAATAACATTTGCTGGAACAGTAGAAGCCACATTTAAAGCTCAAGGAGAGCTTTCGGTTGAGGTATAGCATCGAGCTCTTGTCGCAATATTAATAAATTGATAGAGAAAAAAATAGTTTTTTTGATAACAAAAGTTGTTTGTTGCTAAAATTATAAATAAAATCTATTTTATGCCTTCTGGTATTAAACAGATTTTTAATAAGTAAATTTGATTATCGAAAGGAATTTTCAAAAGGAATCAAGTGGGATCTAATTTATAGACATTATGTATTGGAGTGACGCAAACTGAAGGATCTGGCGGTACAGGTCTCATTCAGTTCTTGAGAGATATAAGTTCACCAAGTACTACAGTTTGTACATGCAGTAATGTACATAATAATTCTTCTAATAACTTAATGACTAGAATAGCACCTATTTTGCCAAAAGTAAGTCTTATTATAGAAATTATAAGCAGTAACAAATATTATTGTTTATCATGCTATCTCTATATTTGTAGGATTTTACTCTGAAAGTTGGTAATTTGTTGATAATAGCTGGTAGAGAGGACAGTAGTATGGTAGGTTTGGAAGGTACCTTACGAAGTCTTCAAGTCCATGCAAAGTTTCAAGCTAGTAGGACGCGATTGAATTTTACTGTAAGCCTGGATGGTTTGTGTGTCCGTGGAAAGGTTCCTATTTTAACTCTACATTCACTGTCGATCGATACAAAGGTAAGAATCAACAACACATTCGTATAAAAGTAAATGATATGAAAACAATGATAATTTTTAATCATACTCGCTCATGTTGTATTTTCTACAGATGGAGGAGAATATTTTGTGTGTTGACATACAACTGAATAATCTGTCAATACTGTATGATCATAGAGACTGGGAATTGTTGCTATACAATAATGAGAATGATATTTCAAAGCCTGTTAGCAACATGTCATTAAAAGATAGATTACCGAGTTTTGAAATAGCATTAAATACCGAGCTATATGATTCTTCATTGAACATAAAATTACCGGATGTGCAAGAAGCATCTTGTGGCGTTACACATATGAAATTTGTTCTGAACTCGTCTACAGGTGGATCATACGTTTCTCTTTTTATTCTTCTTTAAGTAAATCATGAACTGAATTTAATTAAATTAATTTTTGTGATTCGCAATTTTTTTTTCTGTAATAGACAAAACCAAAAATCTAAATACAGAATTAGTCGTCGAATCTTTATATTGTGCATTAAATGGCGCTAATAACAATATCTCCGAAACCTCTCATCAATGGGGCAGTCCACTTTCTATTGGAGTATTATTAGCGACAACTCGTAGCAATGCCATAGGAATTGCAGTTGATGCTTTTATAACAGAATGGAGTTTAGAGCTCGCAAAATTTCTTGAGCAAGCTTACAAGTAATAATAAAATAATTTACGTATGCGATATTAATACTAAAAATGAAAGATATAGCGCACAAGTGAAATAATTATAAAAATAATTGTAGGTGTTACAATAAGTATCGGCAACCAATGGAAAAAAAGGATACGATATCATGCAATTCTATCCAATTGAATCTTAAAGCAACAAACTGCAATCTATTCTTTATCGCAGAAAACGAGTGTAAGTATCTAATAATGTCACGCCATCATAAAAAGAATTCTTTTTTTGTATTATGCGTACTTATTTCCAGTATCTATAATGATGCGTTTGGATGTGGCGACTGTGGAACAAAACGCAAAGCGATTCGTAGGCGTAGCGGAAGGTATGAGTGCGATAACTCTCAACAAGAACGAGCCGATCATGTGCCAACACGCACAAGCTTTAACGCATCCATTTCTGGCAATACGAAAGTGCAAAGCTGCGATTAATTCTGACGCCGTGAACATTAGTCTCGATGGGACTAACTTAGCATGGAGTCCTAATTTACATCTTCGCTTATTGCAATTCTGGGTGGAGTCTGAAGATTTTAGATCTATTGTCAGAAAAGAAATGAGCGTGACTCGTATCGAAGGTAATATCGAAGGTACCATTAAATTAATGCTAAGAATTAGTCGCGGTCAATTTTTTAGTGTAATTACCCTTACAAACAGCACGAGACGCGGTCACAGTCAGTTTATTTTCAGAAGTGCAGAAAAAGAAACGCGTTTTAGATTTACTAGCCACAGGTGGAATCACCGTCTCTATGGATATTTCTACTAAACATTTTTTAATACTGACGTCCGATCAGCTACGCTGGTCGCAGGGTGAATGGAGACTCACCTACGTTCGAGTTACCTTAGACATGGCTGATGTAATTATGATCGAGGGTTTTGAATTAATTAAAATAACCGATAACGCAGAAGTGCGAGCAGAGAGACAAAGCAACGAGGGTTTTGTATTGGATTGGAACGAGTGCTGGGCAGTGAATATCGATTCCATTAAAATTTGTTTTCCGTATGAGCATCAGTTTACAAACGCGATACAAAATGAGTTGCTTAGCATCAGAAAGTGGCTGAAAGAAATTCATTCCTCGAGCATACCTAAACAAGAGTTCTTGCCCTGCGATTTCATTATCAAAATCAAAGAGTGGACGTTCGAGCTTAGCGATGATCCGTTTGAGGTACGTCTGCGCGACAATTACGAGCTACTGGAGGATGAGTACAAAGAGAGCTTGAAACGACAGGCGATGTTGGATACCAAGGTACAGGAACTTTGCCGCGCACACTTATTGCTACCACAAGGAAAAGTCGAAGAATTATACGCCAGCTTAAATAAAAAAAATGCAGAGATCTATGTGCAGAGATGGAAACAAATGCAACGAGCAGGCC